TAAATATTTGGTGGTCCAATTCTTGAGTTTATTTATTTTTTATTTTAGTTCACATTTCTTGCTCTTTTGCAATATGTTTTAAATATGTGTATAATATATATTTTAAGTTAGAGCTACATATATTTTGATGGTCCAATTCTTGATATTTGAAAGAAATATTCGAATCTTTCTTCCTCGCTCGAGGATTCATTTGAACCTGCAAATAACAAAATAAGATAAATGGAGAAATGAAAAGCTAAAAATCTATAATCAAATAACAGATTCTATCATCGGCTAATTTTGTGTGGTTGTCAAGAATCAAAGAAAACATGTAAATATAAACAGTAAAAAGATGCTGAAAAATGCACCAAGAAAAGGGAAATGCACTATTGTGGGATAGTTCTTATGCCAGAAAATATTCCACCTAGTCTGATGTAACAATAAATTGTTTTATGTGATAAATATATAAAATCCTATTTACGTAATTTTATTCATGGGTATTTAAGTAATTAAAAATAATACTTAAAATTGTGGTGTAATTAACAAAATTTGTAGTGGTAATATAATTATCTCTACCTAATTTATTCAATCTCAAGCCTTATCAATTATTCATAGATCCCCCAATTTTCACTCAAAATTACCCTCCTATCTTCCAATCTAGCCAAATCCTGAAACCTCCTATTATAGCCCTAAACATAATTTTTTCCGGCAATCATTTTCATATTTCCATCAGAATTTGCATCCCTTGGCTCGAAGTGATGGTAACTCGTTCATCCCTATTGACCGCTTTCCACATAAAAGCATTGTGCGAAAAGGATAATTTGTGCAATGCACAAGGTATTAATATAATGAATTATGCTATATGTACAAAGTTGGTTTACAAATTGGTTGATAAAGTAATATCTACATCAATCATTTTAAAAATAAAATTTTAAATCATTGGAAATCAATGACCTGAATTTTGTCAACATTTATTTTGTCAACCAAATTTATAAACACACTTTGTACAAATAACATAACACTAACATAATATCCTTGATTTTCTCACGTAGCTTGGGACTTGTTCATAACAGCATGTTTTTATCGGCACTTATAGACATAGGGTCTTGAAATGCATCCCATGCCTTGGGCAATACTGCAAAGTGTAACCTAAATGGAAGCATTTGAGAGGGAGAGGATAATAGATGGTGTAATCTTGCTACATGTACACGTCACTTTACACCATTTACACTTGGCATAATCTCATACTATCTTTTAAATCTTACACCTTTAATCCAACCATTATAAAACTACCACATCATCCATTTGCCGACCAATTGTTATAGGAAGATGTTCAAATAACTTTAATCCTTTCAACCATTGTTGGTGATATGCAACTTGAGACCATGGTGAAACTCTCAAAATGTACAGTCAATCCTCTATAATTGGGTTTCTGAGATTGCATTGTGACACAAGAAGTTAATGTTTTGTGGAAAATATTTCCACCTATTGGCGAAGTGGAAGTCAACGAAGGGCCATCCTTAGGTCTTTTTGAGCGAGTAGTTAGAGGCTTGTAAATTGGACCCTGCTGTGTGTACAGGCAGGCTTCATATAGAAGTCTGCCACAACATACACATAGGAGGGGTGGGCGGGGGTATTTTTTGGCAATTTTTTATTCACGGCGGGTCTCACGTATGAGAGTAATCTGGTCAAATTCTGTGGAAAAAATTCTGTACAAACGACATTCCCCTTGTAAATTTCTCACAAATATGTCATCTTCAAGTTGACTCATTTAAGTTCATTTTACTCAATAATCAGTGAGAACTGTAACACGATTCTGTATCTTTATTTTATTAATGTGGAAAATGAGTTACTTAGAGGGGGACGTTAAACCCTATTTCCTAACTTTCTTACATGATAGGGTCATTTAAGAGAATTACTAAATAAAATTTTACATGAAGTTGAATAATCTTCGTGTTTTTGGTAATGCTATTGTAGCACCATTGGACACCTTCTTGCCCTAATATATACAATTGGATGATTTAATAGTATTAAGAATATGTTACTTGTACATAATGCAATGTTCATCTCCCCCACATAGAGGGGTGGGCATCTGGATTGATTCCTTGATATACGTGTAGCATCATCCTTAGTATTAGGGTGTCATTCATCTGGTTTGAAGTCGTATCTGACAAGAATATCTTATATAATTGATTTCTTGGTCGGATTAGAAATCTAATCGTTCTATTTTATCTAAAATTCAGTCAAACCATTGTTTGATCCCCATTATTTTCAAAATACATCTCTCTCTTTTCTTTTCAATCACATATTCTTCAATAAAATAATATTACAAGCAAATTCAATTTTTTTTTAATTTTTAACCACACATTCTTCATCAATCTACTATTTCAAAATGTATTTTTAACAAAAAAAGGGCTCAAACAAGCGCTAAATTCAATAATTTGGCTGGTCATGTTGAACCTTAGATTGGCGAGTTGCAACATCAATTTCACTTTTTCATACCAAAATGTCCATTGTCTTAAAAGGAGTCCAAAAATGTCATGTATGTTTCGAACACTTAGGGCTGTCAATGGATTGGATTTTGATCCAAATCCATCCGAATCCAATGAAATTAATGGGAACTAGATTTAGAGTCTCAATTCGATAATCCGATTGAGATCCGAATACGATATTGCGTTAACTAAATGAATCAAATATGGATATAGGTCAATCCGATTCGATTTATTATAATAATATATTATATTTTTTATATTATCGCATAATTTATGACACTGTTTTTTCCATTTTGAAAATTGTATTATACTTTATACGTAACTTTTAAATAATAAATAGTATTATATAATAGTATAATATTTTTAATTGAAAATTTTGAAGAAATTTAATTTTTTTATTAATTAAAATAAGATAAAACTAATAATTAATTTATTGATTAGATTTACTATAGTAATTTATATTATAATATAAAAAATTAACAATTAATATGTCCAAAATAATTGACTTTGTTCAAATTGATATTGTTTATAATTAAAATCTTATTGATGCTATGATTTTTAATAAAAATAATAAAGTAAACTAGTAAACACTTAGAATTAACAAATGATTATTAATAATATCCCACATTAAAAGATAGCTAAATCATTAAAAGAAGAGAATCATTTAAAAAGTTAGTATCTTACGTTGGAATATCATTAAAATATTCCAAGAGGAGTCTCTTTTAAAAATAAATGAAAAAGGACATCACTTGGATAAAAAAGTTGATTTGAGCCTTCTGATATAATAAGTGAGCCAATCAAGATAGTTTAAATATATTTTAAAATAAATGAATAATTAAAATCCTGTTAAGGCTATGATTTTTAATGAAAAAAATAAATATAATATTTATGTTTCTAATTTTTTAAATTTTGGATCGGGTTATCGGATTGAATATCCGATAACATAGCTAATCGGATTTGTATTTAACATTCAAATATCCGTCAGATAATTATTTTTAACGGATTGAATCGAATTTAAGCAAATCCGATCTATATTCGATCGATTGACAGCCCTACAGACACCAAAAAAATTGCCCAAAGTCCAAAATGCAAGTTTATGCTTTCTGAAATTGCAAACCAGTCCCCAAGCTTCTTAAGAATCCCAAATTTGAACCCATTATTGACATGTATATTCGCATAACCAAATTAAATATCTAGGCTAAGAGCTTGTTTGGTTTAGATTTTAAATAAATTAAAATTATTTTTTTGACTGTTATTTCACTATTTTAGCTGTTATTTTTCAATTCTTCTCTCACAGATAAGACTCACTTTATCTCTAATGGAAAAAAAAAAAATCAATTCTCAATATCCCTACCAAACAAGCACTAAATAAATAATCGACTCCAAAATTTAATTTTACTTTAATCCANAATATAACATTTTGGAATCGTACACTAAAGCGATGTTCACGACACATAGGAGACAACAAACAAAGCGAGCAAATAAACTGCTCGTACATTTATTCGATTTTAAAGAAGTACAAGCAAATAAACTGCTTGTACATATTTATTTGATTGCAACAGATGATATGGCCTCAGAGGCTAGATTGCACGTCAGATAAGTGCCAAGATCAACTTGAAATTGGTTGCAGTAATCTTCGTAAAACCCAACTCGAGCATTAACCGCGCTCGGATTACCACCAGCGCATTCACTTGGGTTGATAGCCCGAATAGTAACTCCAAAACCTCGATGCGCATTTATACTATAGTGACAATTAACCATCCAAAACCATAGAGCAGTCTTAAATGACACAACCGGATCTGTGGCTTCGCGTTCTGGATAATCTAAAAGATTAATATGAGTTATGTTTCTCCCTGCTGGTCCATAGTTGTAATTCCACGATAGTTGTAACGACCGCGCCCATAATAACTCTTTCCGGGGGTACATGGATTTTGTATATCATCCCTCTTACAATAATCTTTAGACTGACCGTCTTTTTCTTCTATATAGCATAAATCTGCATAAAGAAACAAATTTTTTTTGTTAAGAAACTTGAATTATTGGTTTGAGATAAAGGCATTAACATTGAATTATTACTATGCTGTGCTTGACTGAATATTCAAGTCAATTGTAAATTTAGGTTAAGTAAGTTTGAAAACAAAATGATTCATGAAGAAGATTTAGGAAACTTACCTCCAGTTTCAAATGTAACGTGTGCGAAGAATGCAGCAATCTCGCGCTTAGAATCTTCTTCAAAGCCAACAGTTCCGAACCATGGATAAAACGTTAGTAGAATCCCTTCCCGGGACAGTTTTCAAAAGCTTGATCAATAATGCCATTGAAATACTCATCAGTCACAATATCAGAAACTGAAACATTATTACCAGGCGGCAGAGGATAGCAATTGCCGCTTTGGCACCCATCGCTGCAGTATTCAAGGCCAACATCACAATAACCATTTTTGCTGCAACAGTAGTATTCTGCACAGCCGCAGTTCTGGCCCGAAACCTGTCGAGGCGAGGTTCCAGCAAGAAATACGGCTAGGGTAATTGGTAGTAGATGTTTCCATGAATAGTAGAAACCATTTTTCCAAGGATTGTAAGAGAAATGTAGGTGTGGAAATGAGGGCAGAATGAAATGTATTTATAGAGTGCATCGGTCCATTTGCACCAAAAAAATGAGACTCGAATAGTTGAAAAAGGAGAGCGCTTGTTGAGCAGGTGACCCTCTTCGACAAGAATAATCCGTTAAGAGAACATTCTATATTGGGCTGTGATGCCAAATATACTTGTGTGTCCAACCCAATTGGGCAATGATGATATAATTGGTCCAATAGATACTACCCAGCCCATTGCCCAATAAATCAATGTTGAAAGCAGTTGAAACCCAACCCAAACCTAATAACCTATGTGTGTCGCTCTGGACCCTTTGATCTACTTAACCTAACATCTACAGTGATGACCCATTATGATATAAACGAGGTCTAAGTCTGTTTGGCCCTAATTCGAGTTACTCTTTCTCTGTCTCTCCATGATATTTTCTGTGGAATCTTCTGGGTCTCTCTCTTCGTGACTTTGTGTCTTCTACCTCTTCTCCTTCTTCGTGAATTTGGTGATTTAGCCATTAAACCTCTAACTTTCTGGCCACTGTGTGTGCTAAAAGTCCTATGATTCTTCAGTTGTGATTTGTGGAGAGTTTCCCGTTCATGTTTTAGTGATTTGGGTCCATTGAAAAGATTGTTTCTGTGTTTGTGGATTGGGACTATGATTTATGAGTTTTCACATTATACAGACGGGTACAATGTGTGATCTGAGCCCAAATTGATGATAAATTTGATGCCTTTGGTCTGAGAGTTTTTGATCATTTGTTGAGTCAATTTTGGGTCATTTCTTGTGACAGTGGTATCAGAGCTTGTTGAGGCCGTTCGAGTCCTTGACTCCGACAATCGGACGTGGAAAATTAATTTTCACGATCGAATTTTTTGGGAGACGAACAGTCGGCTGAAACCCGTGATCTGTTCGGCTACGGATTTTGATTCAGTTTATGGTTTTTTGCGTTTTTTCTTGGTGAACTAACATTGTTGTTGGCGGTTCTTGCAGAAAACATTGAGTTTTGAATTCTTCTTGGTGAACTGGCTCAAAAGTAATTGGGCCTCCTGCGTGATACTCGATCTGCCGGTCGAATTTTCTAACTCTCTTAAGCTTTTTTAATTGAAATACATGATTTACCGCTGAGTGTCGTGAATTGGTGTATTTCTGGTATTGAACGTGTTTTGAAATTTTGGAATATTGCATATATACTTTTAATTCAAAATGTTCTGCATGAGTTTAAACTTTGTGATTAATTCCTGATTTCATTATAAAGTCTATTGATTAATCTTTGTGATTAATTCTTGATCCCTGTAGTCTGTATGTTAATCTTTGTGATTGTTAATTGACAATTTGTTTTTAACCCTGTACACTTTGCACTGTACTATTGTGTACCTTGGGTTGAGGCTTGACCTGAGGTCCTTGAGCCTCACGGAATCCTGGTGAACCCAAGACACAACACTGCATTCTGAAGTGATTGTTTATTCCTCTGATTGGTTACTGTTTACTGAGTTATATCCCCTGATATTTTTTTTATATTGTGTGTGATTTGGCTGAACTTTAACCCTAAAAAGTTTTTCTAGAGTTGATTAAAAACTTCAAACGATAACGGGAACGTTTGAACTTGGGGTTTTTAATGGAAAAGGGGATTTTCCCATTTGGCAGCAAAAAATGAGGGGGATTCTTGTTCAACAGAAAGTGTCTAAAGCTATAACTGGTGAATATCCTGATACTATGACTGATGAACAAAAGACTGAATCTGATGATCTTGCCTATACTTCCATTATTCTTCACTTGTCTGATCCAGTATTAAGAAAGGTTGAAAAATTGGATAATGCAAAAACCTTATGGGATAAACTTGAGGAACTTTATTTGGTAAAATCATTGCCAAATAAACTATTTCTATTGGAAAAAATTTTCAGCTTCCAAATTGATATGTCCCGAGACTTAGATGATAATCTTGACACTTTTAATAGACTGGTATAAGATATAACTAATGCTGGGAATAAAGTATTTGAAGAATATAATGCTGTAATTTTGTTAAATTCTATACCTAATGTGTATAAAGATGTTAAGACAGGTATTAAGTATGATAGAGAGTCTTTAACACCTGAGATAGTGATTGATGCTTTAAGAAGCAAAGATTTGGAAGTTAGATGTGAGAGACATGGCAAGGAAAGTGAGAACATATTTGTAAGAGGTAGATCACTGACCAAATCTAGTAATAATCAGGGTAACCAAAGTAATCAGGAAAATAATGCCTTTAGGAAGAAGGGAAAGGGTAGACAAAGGTCAAAGTCTAGAAATGGTGCTAGAAAATGTTATAGTTGTGGAAAAATAGGGCATTACATCAAAGACTGCTTTAAAAGGAAAAATGAGCAAAGAGAGGTTAAAATTGATGAAGGGAATATTGTTGAACCTCTAGGTGAGGGTACTGTTGATGTCTATGTTGTATCTGAGTCCTCATCTGATTTGAACTCTGCAAATTATGTAGATAATTCAAGTCAGAGTATAGAGTGGATCTTAGATTCAAGTTGTACCTTTCATATGACCTCTAGAAAGCATTGGTTGCTTGATTTTAAGGACTTAAATGGAGATGAGGTCGTTATGGGTAACAATGCAGCCTGTAAAGTGTTGGGGATAGACAGTGTGACTTTAAAATTTGATAATGAGTACACCTTTACCTTGGAAAGGGTGAGGTATGTACCAGATTTAAATAGAAATCTGATTTCAGTTGGGAACTTAGATGATATAAGTCTCCAAGGAAAATTTGGAGATGGTTTCTTGAAAATGGTTAAAGGATCCTTAGTTATTTTCAAAGGTATTAAAAGAAATGGTATCTATGTCACTAAGGCTAATATTTTGAGTCACACTGTAGAATCCTCTATGGCTGAGAGTGATGCTACATTGAAATGGCATAATAGGTTAGCCCATGCGAGTGAGAAAGGCTTACACATCTTAAGTCATAAGGGTGCCTTTGGTAGTGATGTGATTTCTAAAATTCCCTTTTGTGAATATTGTACCTTAGGCAAACAACATAGACTTCACTTTAGTACAGGGAAACATAAGACTACATATATCCTATAGTATATACATTCTGATTTGTGGGGTCCATCATCCACCATCTTTCAAGGTGGGAATAGGTATTTTTTATCCTTAATTGATGATTTTTTAAGAAAAATATGGGTATTTCTTTTGAAACAAAAATCAGACACTTTTGGAAAATTTAAAACTTAACTTTGATTGGAAATCAAATGGATAAAAAGATTAAAATTCTAAGGACAGATAATGTCTTAGAATTTTGTAATGCTGATTTTGAAAAATTGTGTATGGATGATGGCATTCTAAGACATAAAACAGTACCATATACTCACAACAGAATGGTATAGCTGAAAGGATGAATAGGACAATCCTAGACAAGGTTAGATGTATGATGTTCAGTTCGGGTGTCCCTAAAATGTTGTGGGGGAGGCTATTATGACAGTAGTTTATATCACAAATAGGACCCCAACTAGTGCATTAGATGGTAGGACACCTGAGGAAGTGTGGACAGGTAGGTTGGCTGACTATACACACTTAAAAACCTTTGGTTGTGCAACATATTCACACCAAAGTATAGAAAAACTTGAGCCTAGATCCCAGAAATGTGTTTTTATGGGATATCCTGAAGGAGTGAAGGGGTACAGGCTTTGGGTGAGAGAAATTGGGGGTTTTAAGATGATAACCAGTAGGAATGTGACCTTTAATGAAAATGAGATGCCTTGTTGAGATAGGAAGACCTCTAGTGAGGAGCCTAAGGGCCAGGAAAAGGAAAATACTAGGTTGCAGATAGAACTTGAACCTTCACCTGATCTTGTAGTTGAAAATCAAGAGGAAAATGAAACTGTGGAAAAATCAGGTGATGAAACAGTTCAAGGGCCTACTGGTGAGTTAGTGAACCCTTTTGGTGATTATCAGTTAGCTAGAGATAGGGTTAGAAGAGAAATAAGAGAGCCTATTAGGATTCAAGACTATTTGTCACTTGCTATGTTGTCATATCAGGATTTAACTTTTAAGGAGCCTAAATCCTATGAAGAGGCTATTAGTTATCAATTTTCCAGGGAATGGCAGCTTGCTATGGAGGAAGAAATGAGGTCCTTAGTGAAAAATAAGACCTGGAGCTTAGTGCCTAAACCTGAAAATAAATCTCTAGTTGACTGTAAGTGGGTTTATACTGTTAAAGAAGGCAATCCTCCTAATCAGCCCCTTAGGTTTAAGGCCAGATTTGTGGGTAAGGGGTTTACCCAAAAACTTGATATTGATTATAATGAAATCTTTTCTCCTGTTGTGAAATATACTACCATTAAAGTCATGCTTGCATTAGTTGCA